ACAACAAGGGAATCGTTGAAGTGCAATTATTTAAACAATTTCGAATACAACATGAAAGGCATTTATTATCATTGTAATTTGAAATAATTTGAGGCAACTTTCAATGTGTAAATTAAGTTTTAAATACATTTTTATATGGTGAACCAATGAGAGGAGTTGACATTTATTAAATGTTTACGTTTACAGAGTTACAGTAATTGATAGAGAACAATAGAGTGGTATAGTCGTATTATATTACTTCAACTTCTACGATCGACTACTAAAACAAATGCCGTTAGTGTAACGTCTTTTATCATGTCCGTATATATTATGAATAATGATATTTAAATTATCACTTTTGAATAGTCATTGTATGATATGAAATTACGCAATCTCGGTGGTTTGTGAATAGGCACGCTTTGGATCAGTAACACTTGCCTTTTCTACGCATGCGCATGTTTTTGCGTAATTTTGTCGCTTGGTACATAGAAAGAATGTTTTGATGTTGTTGTTGTTGTTGTTTTGTTTGGGTTTTTTTGTTGGGTTTTTTTTCGTAAGAGAATAACATAATGTATTTTTCACAGGAAATGGAGGTTCAAGAATACAAACACGACCCTGAGTCAAATTTCGAATGTCTTGTTCAACAAGTTGAGGAGCAATCCGAGTTTTGTGACGTCACAGTCACAATGGGTGATTGGGTAAGTTAACAAAAGTCTAAATACATATCATGCATTTTCTTAATTCAAAATATATCTAAACGTCATTTGCCATGATATGCTTATCATTAAGTTGACTTTAATTTTCAGAGAAAAAGATTTCATAGATGTGTGCTTACAGCAAGTCTGCTATTTCGGTCCATAATAGAAACACAAATTGCGGACTCGAAAATAGGTAATGTTTTTATTTTGTTTGTTTGGTTGGTTGTTTGGTTGGTTGGGTTTTACGTCACACCGACACAGTATTGGCCATATGGCGACGTTCCAGTTTCACTGGTGGAAGAAAACCTCAGGTGCCTTTCCGTGCCTAATTTCGGGCACGAACAAACACCGGACGCCTGCGTAGAAACAACGTTACGTAAGCTAGCTAGATATATAACGCTATACCTTAAAAATAATCTATAACTTGAAATGTATGTTGATAATGATTCATTCAATGCATCTTTTTGTGAATTCAGAAAACTATAAAATACCGCTTATTTTGTCATAATCATGAGTGCCTTTTAATTAAAGGTATTTCAATTTTCTAGGCAACTATGATGGAAAAACTGACAGAATACAGGATACCGAAATTGAGATAAAGATTAACATGTCCCCTGATATTGTGGAGATGGCAGTCATGTTTATGTATGGAAAGATTCCTGAGTTTACTATCGCGAATATAGGTGACTTACTAGAATTAGCAGAATACCTCAAAATACAAAGCTTAATAATGCGTGTGTAGTTTGGTTATATTCTGTATATTATTCAGAAATAAATTGCATCTATATTATACAGTTGTCGCAAAAGTATGATTTCGAAATATCTGCATGTATCGAATATATCGAAAGTCACATACCAGAAACATTTGAACACACCGATGCTGCTGATCTTCCAAACGATTTAGTTCACCGTCTTTTCACTGATGAAAGATTTTCGTACGTACAAATGGACGACAAATTAAACTTTCTGCTAAAATTGGCAAATAATTATCCTAGTGAGTCGACGAAAGACTTTGTTATCAAATTGTTCAAAACACTTGACTTATCGGAAGTAACGCTTTCAGCTTGGGAAACCGCTAAAGAAGATGTAATGTTAAATAAGATACTCGACTTAGAAACTAAAGTCAGTCAAGTTGACCAAGAAAGTTCTACAAATTATGTACTGATAATGTCTTCTGATAACGATTATTTTGTGGGATTAGATCTACGGAATGATCGTTGGTACAGGCTAAACTACGACCGATATCCTTACGAAGAAATTGCTGGTGTAAGAAATGATAACCCCGAAGTGTATTTTGTAAAAGAAGATGATTTTGAGGAAAATGAAAAACATGTTATCACTGTAGACCTCGATTCTGATGAGATTGATAGATTCATGGTTTACGTACAATTTGATGATGTTCCAAATGGACACATTGTTGACTTCGACTTCACGCATGTGAATATCACAGACGACAGAGTGGTTGGAATAGTAAATAAAACTTTGGAAATCTATGAAGATTCGGAAGTTTCTAGTAGTTCAGAGAGTGAATCTGAATGTGTTTGTTCATGTCGCGAGAGGGAAAATCAAAATAATATCACAAGTGTCACAGAGGCGCATATACCCCCTGAAATTATTTCCGATAGAAGTGTAAATGATACTTCGTGCGCGATAGATACACCGGGAATATCTGTAAGTGTTAGATCGTCAAATTCTCCATCAAGGTCGTCATCCGTGTCAGACACTGGACAAGATGGTACAATCAACTTTACCACCGTTTACGTTGGAGAAACTTCAGGTGAAGATGTTGAAATGCGTTCACTTTTTTCCTTTCGGAAAGAAAAGATAGCTCAAATATGTATGAATAATCAATCTGTCTTGGGTCTACTGGCCAAAACAAACAAGCATTTACATGTGATCCTGTATGACTTAGTGGAGTGTAAGATGGACAGGGTATTATCATTATCCGTGCAAAAAGATAAGTACGAAATTTGTCCGGCTAAACATGGATTTCTTTTGCATAACAATACATGTTGTTACTGTTTTACGAAAGCAGCGACGCCAATCTTCTCAGGGAATTATAAGGTCGAGAAATTTATGCTCGAAAATAGGGAAGAGTGGATGGTGAGGTATCTGTTTCAATGTGGAGTTTGGATCAGAGTCTTACGCAGAAGCGTGCATAATGATATCGAGCTTCAATACATATTTCATGAAGAATTAGCAGATTATCATTCTTCAATCGATGTTAACTGGAGGAACGTGTCAATGCCCAAAGATAAGAGACTATTCGAGAAAATTGTGAACTTGAAGAATACTTTCATAGTCCTCCTTTCAAAAAGTAAACTTCGGTGTAATATTGAATGTCCTCATTGCAAGTTCTCGGACGAGTCAGATTATTACTAAATATGACATGATACAAGTTTATTGAATTTTACGCAAATCATAGAAGGATTTCAAATATTTATACAGATTTTACAGATTTTCACGTTTCCATGTTTGGAAACATGCTCTCTCGTTCTTTGTATTAAAACAAAAGGCTGTGTATTTACCAAATATTTATTTTAAAACGTCCATAAAACAGTGATATGATACAGTTACATTTCTCTAGAATAATCATCTATGTTATGCAAAATACACAAAACCCCTGAGTTTTTGTTAAGTTTTACGTGGCACCAACACAGAAAATGTCATGTGATGAATTCCCCACTGGTGCAAGATGCTTATGATAATATTTTTCTCAAAAAGTGAATAATAGATGGGAGTCATGGGATAAAAAAATATTGTCTTTGAAGCACAAGCAAGATTTTGTTATATTTCATACTTTTTTTAACCAGATGATTGAAATAAGAAAAAATGATTGACAGAGTTTTTATATTTCCTTTCATTGTGTCTGGAACGGGCTATAACCCACTAAAACAATAGCCCACGGGACAATATTCCACTGCACTATAGCGTTCGCCGCGCAATTGAGACCGTTCGTCTCATATCAATGAGAACATTTGTTCCGCTATATCTTGGCATTGAAACTGTTCCAAGGTCAACCCTTATTCAGAACCACACACGCCAACTTGCAAAGACACTTTTCAACGCTGATGACAACCAACTGATCCTTGTTCTTGGAACATATATTTATATCAATAAGTCAAATAACTTCAAGTTCCAAAGGCGTTCATTTAGCATGCACAAAGGCCGGCCATTGGTTAAACCTATGGTTGTTGTTACGACAACGGGTCACTTTGTAACTATAGTTGGCCCTTACCTTGCAGATGGCAAAAACAACGATGCGGCTATACTGAATCATATGCTGCGTGCCAATATTCAAAACTTCCGGGAGTTTTTACAGGAAGGAGATATTCTGGTAGTTGATCGTGGCTTCCGGGATTCGCTGACTCTCCTCGCTGACCTCGGAATCAACGCTGAAATGCCTGCCTTGATCAGCAAAGGACAAAAGCAGCTATCGACGAAGGAAGATAACTCCAGTCGGCTAGGTACAAAAGTACGTTTAAAGGCACATCGTGCATCATAAATACATATTTTTGTCATTCTTTATAAATGTCAGACAAGTTATAATAATGCTTTAATAATGAATTTAGAATATGTTTCAATTAGATAATTTACAACTTAAAAAAATAGCGCTGAATGTGTTGTAATATATCGTAATGTAGCATAATATGAACAAAGTAGTATTTTGACTTCCGTACAAAAACTTATCCACTATGTAATCAAACCAATTGTCAACTGTGTTGGAGTAGCAAAAATCATTGTTTGTGTATAAAGCAAATGAGTATTTTATGGAAAATGTAACATGGTACCTTTTTTTAGGAATTAAATTGATAGCATGAATTGATGGGCCTTTAATATATTTAATCGGGTTTCGTAGAATATAAATATTTGTTTAGGCAAATGAAAAACGTTTGATACAGTAACCATATGCTACGTTTTTCTTAAAAAAATTATTCTGCTTTAATAAAGCTAAAATGTAAATAATAGAATAACTTATAAATAATATTCAAAACATTTTGTTTTTTTTAAAAAGCCAGGGTGAAACTGGTTATTGTCATATCTAATAGGATACAAAAAGGTGTTACTCATGATTTATGCGTACATCAGCTTTTTTTTTTAAATAAAGTTTCTCAGCCGTATATTGCTTAGTACTTTTTTACGCTTTTTTGACGATTTATGTTATCAAATTATCATTATTAAAAAATAAATTATACAAATAATTGTGTCATCAAAATTAAACGATGTCTTTCTTTAAAGAGTTGAACGAAATATATAAGTTATGTTCATAGAAGAAAAAAATGACCTAGTACTTGAACTAACGACCCATAGTTTCAAAAAATGACAGTATTTCTAGCCTATTTAGATAATATTCAAATTGAGTTTCTGTATAAAGGTTGTTCTACCTTAAAACTTAAATGAATATAGTGTAACGTTTGTGTTTATTTGTAATTATATCATTTCTAATTTTCAGGTAAGATGGGTTATGGAATCGGCCAACGCTCGAATCAAACGGTTCAAAATGCTTGCAACAGTACTTCCATGCAGCCAGGTGCCCTTCATTGGAGACTTTGTTAGGATTGTATGTGCAATATGTAATAAATACCTTCCTGCACTGAGTTCACCGTCTCAGACAGAGGCAGATACGCGAGTTGCTCAACAAATGTTGTTATTGGCTGAACGAGCCAATACATTACAAGAGTATGTACAAGAGCGTGGTCTCGAACGGAAGTTAAAAGTATGGAAGTCGGTTGAGGATGTACCGTTTTCGCGACTTTCAGAGTAAAAATCTACACGACCTTACGCTTGGTGTATATCAGTTGAAGCTTGCGCCCAGTTACATCCTGGAGCATCTCACTGGGACATATGACATACATGTCCATGTAGATGACACGTCACTACTGACAGTACGGTTGCAGAGTCGTCACACAAGCAGCAGACGATATCTCATGTGGATACGGTCCAGTGATACGGCAGTAGAGGCTTGGTACTGCCAGTGCCGTGCTGGGGCACGTGTTGTTGGAATGTGCGCGAATGTTTCGGCCATCGTCTGGTATCTTGCTTTTGCTAGGCATCAAGAAAGCACGCGGTACGGTGTAAGGCACTGGGGTAGTCATCTAGAAGATGCCGTTACATTCCAAATCGACTCCAGTTCTGACAGTGATTAAACATTTGCAAATAATGAATACAAGAGACAACGGACTTTTACAATTGTAAAATTATAAATGATTCTTTATCTTTTATCATTTTTCGGCTTTTTAAACTGTTAAGATAATCGACAATCAGTAACTTAATCAATAAGATTATTTGGTAATTATAATACAAAATAAAATGTTGTAATTATTATTCCTGTAGGTACATTTATTGACTTTGTAAAGAACTGTTTTTGCCAGACAGTCAATAGCTTCAGTTATTCATTTAATTATGACAAATTAAAATAATTGTTCAATTTTTCTGACACAGTGTAAGATGAAGGTATCTAAATGAGTATTGAACCGCGTCACTCGCTGCTGAATGATCAAAATATTACTGCGAGCGGTACAATCAGTGCGGATGTGCGTGAACAACATTTTTTTGGTTATAGAATTAAATAAAAAAAATATTTTTTCGCCTGAGTGATAAATGGAACATATTTTCAATCAACATGTTCAAATTCAATATATTCTCCATCGCCAGTCCGGCCGTGAAAATATATGGAATCTTATCATATTTCCAAAAAATATTTTCTAATTTCACTCA